TGGCACTGGCAACGCAGGCCATTGCGGAGTCCAAACGTTTCTCCAGTATGGATAATGCGAGCGGCGATATTGCGGGTGACGGTGAAGTCATGACGTCCACAAGCACGGGCACCGCTGTTGGATTGGCCCCATCGTCACAATCAAAGACGTCTTCCACGACGGGTATGGTTGGTAGAGTCTCTGAGAAGCAGCTGGAGAACATATTTCTTGAAAAGGCGGCTTTAGAGTATCAGCTCACGCGGAAGGTGTGGAACTGGCAGCAACTTATTCACCGCCTAGGATACAAGATCCACCGCGGTCACGTGTTGCCTCGACGGGAACTGGGCGTTCGTTGCATCGCCAAACGGGACGCCGATGAATCGCTGAATGACATGCACGGCAGCAAGAATCCGGCGGTACGTGGACAGGACTTAACCGAAAGCATTTTACGCGACCTCAGTCGCGGTTTCATGACACTCACACCCGAGTGGGTGGCGTGGTCCAAACCCTGGGCAAGTCAGCACCTGCGTGGTTACAGCCGGCTGACAACCACTGCGGATCATCTCGTTTCGGCGGATGCCTCAGTGTCGACTTCAAATAAGGGTGTTCCATCTGGTGGAGAACCTGCGATGGGGCTCATGCGAGGGACGCGCCGTAACGCATTTCCCATGATTGGAAGGAGGAATATTCCAATTTCCGTGCCAATGCCGATGATGACAGGCGCAGGAGTGGCAACAACAATCGCACGACTGTGCAATGGTGTCAAACGACTCTTACCGTTAAAATTTGTTCGATAAAGATGATGAATCATTGGATTTTTTCTTTATGCCCTTTTCTTTACATATATATATATATTTTTTTTTGGTTTGTTTGTGATGCACCCAAAATTCTTCACAGTGTTTGTATGCGAAGCAGGCCTGAGTCACCTTCCTTTCTCACTGGTCGTTCTGCTTGCATGCATACACGCATAGACATACATACATACATACATGGAGAAACAGGAATGCATATGACTCACAAACAGGGTTATGGACACCGACAGAAATATTGTTGTTGTTGTTTTTGTTGTTTTATTTTGGCTGCTATCTTTTTCTCCACTTTTTTTTATATTTATTTATTTATTTACGGTTGTTCTTGCTTTGCTTTTTTCCTACCTTTTTCTTTTCATTTTTTCTTCTTGTTGTTAACCCTCACCATCATCCACTCTACCCAGGTGGGGTAGCGGGTTTTTTTTTTTTTTTTTTGGCAGTGGGAGGAGCTGGAAAAGATGTCCCTCCTTCAGCGCAGTGTGGTCCTTCGCGCGTACCACTACGTACATCCCAAGACTGGAAGACCCATCCGCCAATTTCGCCGCTACGGTGACCCGCGTTTCATCAACAACGAGGCGGCGCTTATTAAGGGACAGTGGGGACTTATCACGGCGGATTTTGGCATGGTGACGCAGTCGCAACTTGAGAATGCGCGACTTGCGATCCTTCGTCGTCTCCCGCGCGGTGCATTTACGCTGACGATGCACACCGATTATGAGGAGTTTCCCGTTGTGAAGAAGAGTCCTGAAAGTCGTATGGGGGCAGGGAAGGCGAACATCCACCACTTTGCATTCAAGTTTACGACAGGGATCCCTTTGTTTGAAATTATGCCTGTCTCCTCGCGTCGTCTCAATCAGGCGGAGGCGGAAGGCATTTTTTTGGCCGGTAGACCTTTCATTCCGCTTCAGACAGTCGTAGTGCCACAGGGCCGTGTCGACGAGTACCATGTCTTCAAGTAGTGCAAGGCGCACCGTGTCACTGGAGATGCGCGGCGACACTGCGATTTGTGTGTACGTACATTGCCACCGTTTTGGACCAATTTCCTCCCATACGCACGCAATTCGCATGTCTCTTTATTTCAATGGACCCTCTTTTGGTGTGTGTTCAATGGGGTTTTTTGCCCTTGTCTCTGCGTGTGGTGGTGATGGTGGGATGCGTTCACGCCGCGGGTTTTTAGCGGCTGGTGGGGCGATGGTTTGACCTTCTTTTTATTGTTGTGTGCGTGTGTGTGTTTGTTGCCATTCATTTACTCCCTTGCATGCATGGCGTACTGTTCTGACTTCCTTCTTTCCTTTCTTCCCCTCTCGTCTGACACAACAACAAGAAGAAAAACGAGGAGGGTAACTGCAAACACCGTGTGCACATAACAGTACTCACACAAGCAATAAAAGCGTCAAGGAAGAGAGACGGGTGGAGGGGGAAACGAAAATCCCAACAACAACAACAAAAAAAAAAAAAAAAAAAAAGAGAAAGAGAGGGAGGAAAAAAACAACAACACAAAGGAAATATATATATATCTTTTCCTTAAAGGGTCACGGACACCCTCCTTTCCAGGGCGAAGGAGGAAGCAGCCAGTTAGACACGTATATATATATATACAGCCACACACAGAGAGAAAGAGAGCAAAAGAGGAAAGGGGAAAACCAAAAGGCGTGGAGCAAAGAAGTAGGCCGAATATACACAAGGAGGAACAAGAGGCCCAGTGAACATATATATATATATATATACATAAGAGACATACATATACATTTATTTGCGTATTGAAAGAGGAGCAACATTAATAAATTAAAAAAGAAAAAGAAAAGAAATTTTGCAGTAAGACAACGAAACACATGTCTTTTGGGCAATCAGACTCTCTCTCAGAGAGCAGCCTTAATAAAAATAATAACACACCCACGCGGAACGATGTTCATGGTGCCACGTCAAATGGATCCCAAACTCCGCCGACATCTTCGCATCTTCGCCCAATTGGTGGTGACAGTCCCAACCAGCAGAGCGTGGACCTGATGCATCCGATGACCCCAAGTGTGGATACACCTCGGTTTGGTCAGAACGGGATTTGCAGAATGAGCGACTGGAACTTGTCTCCCGCCAGTTTCTCTATTCCGCTTAATTGCTCCACACCACCACCACCAACAAGATTAGCACGCGCCACGTCGGTGCTTTCATCATCATCGCAGCGGTATTGTCATGATCCGTACTCTTTGGGTGGATCGCAGCGCCTCAGCCCGCAGTCGAATCCGATAAGCAACGCTGCGTCCCCGCCAGAATGTCCCATTCCATCACTTTCCATTGAGGGATTTGATGACAACGCAACGGGTCCGCTGACCATTGTAACAGTTATGGCAGCTGTGCCGAAGGAGCGAAACGAGACCAGAGGCCGGCGCAAGGGACGCAATGGCGATCACTCCCGCAACAGCAAGGCGCTGCCCGACTTGCCACCACCGAGAGTCATGCGGTACCTGCCACCACCGCCACCGGGAATAGACAATGTTACGAACAGAATACTCTCGCTGGAGGAGTTGCACCCCATTGCAAAGCGTTGGTACGATCGAACCATTGCAGCCGAGGCTAGCTACAGCCAGCGCATTTCTTCCTCCGTTTGGCTGCCCACATTTGGGGCAATGGCTCAGCAACAGCCCCTCATTCCGGCCGGACGCGCAGTTTTATGCCCACGTGTGGAGCATTATCCAAACAGCTTCTGGCAGTGGCTGGCGGATGCAGAGCGATGGTGGGAGGGCGCCGTTCGTCCACACACAGGAACTGCCATCCCACCACCACCGCCACCGCCATACCTTTTTGGAGCATGAAAGCCGACGGAATAAATAAATAAATGCTCATGTTTTTTGTGTTTACTTGTGTGTTTGTCTGTACCAATATGGCGTCTTAAGTGCAGTTGCCTGAAGCTGAACGGGCCGGATAATAAATAGCAGGAATGATCGTAGTGTGAGGGCTGGGGAGGAAGGGAAAAAAAAGAAAAATGGAAGAAAGGGGAAAAACAGGGGAAGGCGCCGTGGAAAGTGCACCCACTCCACCCATTCTTATTCCCTTTTTCCTTGTGCATATGTGTGTCTGTGTGTTGGTTGGTTGTTTGAGTAGTGGAGATGGATGGATTTTATGGCCATGTCTCTTGTGGTATGCTTTACGGTATGATGGTCGGCTGGGAGTAGGAACAACGAGGACGCAAAAACACGATGACGAAGGGCGTTGGTGGGAAGCAGGGAGGGAAGTGAAGAACAAGTAAGAACAGGGACCTTCAAGAGGAAAAAGAGGGAGGAAATTTAAAAAGAAAGAAGAAAGAAAAAAGAAAAACAACGAAAGGGAATTTCAAAAAAGAAAAACAAAACAATGAAAAAAAGAATGGTTAAATAAAGGCATGTATACACGTGATTATATATGTCTGCGTGTGTGTGCCTGCGTGTGTGTGCCTGAGTGTGTGTGTGTGTGTGTGTGTGTGTACATTTTGCGAAGGGGCGGTAGGGGCGACGGGGAGAAGGACAACAAGGGTCAGGAAGAGTTTCAAAAATTAAAAAAAAAAAAAAGGGTTCAAAATAGCAATTAATAATGAAAAGAAAAGGGAAAAATTTATTGCGACAAACACATCCCATGACGATGTGTATACGTATGTTTATGTATGTATTTATGTAGGTCCGACCGCATGCGTGGACAAGAGGGATAGGGCTGTAAGTACATGTGATATGAAATGCATGGGACCGCAGTGTCATGTGAAACTCAACAAATACGCCACATGAGGCCAGGAGTGATGCAACCGCAGGCGCAATTATCTCCATTCAACGTGCGTGCGTGCGTGCGTACACGCCGCAAGCCGGTTACCTCTCCTTTTTTCACTCCGTTTCCACAGACCCTTTCCCTCTGTGTTTTCTACACACCCACGTAAGTGTGTAGAAATGGCAATGATTTCAAAGATCGTTTCCCCCAGCCGCTCCTATTCAACGTCGTGTTTTGTTGTTGCTTTCTTTTTCTTTTTTTTTTTTGTCACGGAAGCAAACATGTTTTTTTTGTTTTTGTTTTTTTTTTTGTTTTTTGGTTCTTTCTCTCTTTCTCTCTCCCTTTTTATATTTTTTGTTGTTTTTTGTCGGTTTTTTTTTTTGTTTTTTTTTCTTTTTTTCCTCTTTGGATGTTTGGTTTGTTTTCACTTGGAGGAGTTGTGGAGCGATGGCGACGGGGACGAACAAACAAAAAAAGAGAGAAAAAAAGAAAAAACTTCATGTCTGCTGATCGAACTGAGGACAAAAATATACTTTCCAAAGGGGGAGGGAAGGGAGGGCTGTTCTTCCACGGTTTGTTTGCAGGACGCGTTGCGGCGCCCCTTTTCTTTTGTGTGTGTGTGTGTATTTAATTTGCGCTTTGTTGAATGGAACGACTTTATTTCATTTCTGTTTTTTTTTTTGTTTTTTTTTTTTTTTTGCGCCGTTCCCGTTTGGTTTCGGGGATCTTCGAAGAATTTGTTTTTTTGTTTTTGTTTTTGTTTTTTTTAATTGGAGGGAAGAGGCCGGGCGGGGTGTTTGTTTTTATTTGCGTTCGACTAAAGTTTTGGTTTTCGGCTTCGTCGTGTGTGTGTGTGTGGGAGGGGGTGACTTCTCCTCCAACCCCTTCAGACTCTTCCCCCTTTCCCTCCCTCCCTT